CTCTTGTGAGAACAGCTCTCAGAGAACTTTGACTGACCCAAGGTCACCTAGCAGCTGTATGTGGAGGAGTGGGGAATCAAACCCAGTTCTCCAGACTAGAGTTCACTGCTCTTAGCCACTGCACCAAACTGGCTCTAGCCCTTGGTCTCATCGCGGGTTCCTTCACCTACATGGTCTGGTCACCTTAATACACCTCGGACTGTCCTATAAGAACATAAGAGAAGCCCATGTTGGATCAGGCCAGTGGACCACCCAGTCCAACACTCTGTGCCACACAGTGGCCAAAACCCAGGTGCCCTCAGGAGGTCCACCAGCGGGGCCACAACTCCAGAAGCCCTCCCACTGTTGCCCCCCCTCGCACCACGAATACACATCAAGGGTTGAAAGAAAGTGAGTCAAGATATTCAATGTCATCAAGGTTTATTGTCTCTCGTTCACCACAACATGTGAACAAAGAAGGCCATAGTGAACTCAGGCGTTGTTAGGATAATTGGTTTTGTAACTCGTGAGCTCTGCCTTATTTGAATCTTCCACAATACTTGCCAAGAAATTTTACACCGTGGCAGAGAACAGTGGGTTTTATACAATATGCCAGGTGTAGGGAGAATTTTGGAGGAGCCAGCTGCTCGTTTGCAATCAACCCCAGCACGTTTTTGTTCTGAAAGCAAAAGTGAGTCCCGCTTCCTTCCCTAGCATTACAATCGCAATTTTTGTTCAATTATGGATCTTTTCGGGGAGCATCTATATGTAAACAAGCTCATCTACCACCTGTGGCCAGCCATCCCAGAGAATGCCTCACACTTGCTAAAACGCTTAAATCTCTCTCTCTCTCTCTCACACACACACACATGGACACTCAGACATCTGTAGCGCAGTTTACTGGATGTGCCTGAAAGCGTCTTCCCTGACCCCAGTCTCATTTTTCGTTCAAGGCCTGTAAATAACAAAGGGATGGCAAACGATGACCATTCCAGCGTTTTGAAACTCATGCTTTTGTGAAATGACCGAGGGAGGGTGATTAAAATGTGGGGTTCGCTGCCAGAGGACGTCGTGGTGGCCACAGGAATAGACAGCTTTCAAAGGGGATTACATAGAGTCATGCAGAGGTAATTTGGGGGGGGGGAATCACGGGGGATCGCAGTTCCCCAGGGTGAGGTACGGGGGGCGGGGCACATGCCTAAGCTCCGCCCCCTGCTTCCGGCCGCCCCGCTTCCGGCGCTCATTCAGCCAGGAGGAGGCAGGAGAAGAGGGAGGGTAAGTTGCTTCCTCCCTGCCTCTTCCCACCCCTGCCTGCCTGGGGCCAGGGAGGGCCTTCGTGGGGCTTCCTTGCACTCCCTCCGGCCTTGCAGGTCCACCGCCGGGCCCCTCATGGGGCTTGGCAGTGGAGCTGCAAGGTCGGCGGTGGTGGCCGGGACCGTTGGGGGCAGGGTGTGTGGCCTTACGACACACTTCCGGTGATGTCAGGGGGTGTGGCATATGCTAATGAGTTATGCTAATGAGTTCCCCTAGCTCTTTTTCTACGAAACGACCCCTGGATTCATGGAGGATAGATTTATCAGTGGCTACGAGCCGTGGTGACCAAAGGGAACCTCCGTGTTCAGAGGCAGTCCACCTCTGAATCCCGAGGCAAAATCAAGGGGAGGCCTCGGCCTCTGTGCCCTGTTGCTGGCCCTCCAGAGGAACTGGTTGGCCACTGTGTGAGACAGGAGGCTGGACTAGATGGAATATTCTGGGTCTGATCCAGCAGAGCTCTTCTTATATTCCCCTACTAATTCCTACCAGGTATTCCCGGTATGTGCTGAATTTGACAGTGCGCCAGCTCCTGTAGTTGTCAGTATATTGCAGCTGATTGAACCTGTTGTAAGCAACTTTGCCTGCAGCAGCCATCTCTTGCAATTTTCCAGTCTCTCACCACTTACCTGGTTGCTATTGTCGGCTGGGACACAGCCGTCTCAATCGCTTAACTTCACACTCTTTGTTCCTTCTGTTCTTAGGCCAATAATGCCCTTTACACAGCCTTACCTGCTGCCTTCCTTTCAGTCTTTCCCTTCCTGGTTAAAAAAAAAAATACAGGGGCAACACATCCCAGGTTTTGAAAATGGTGTCCTGGATCATTACGGCATGGTGCTGTGTAACCCTACAAGCCCTGAGGATTCCCTTGAGAAAATATGCAGGATACTACCGTACCATTGACCCCGCTGCTGATTGAATGCCTTTTAATGCCACATTCTTTTATTCTTCATCATTGCCCTGGTTGGCATGGGAAACTCTCTTGGGAAGAACCTCGGTGCATGAAATAAGAGGAAAGGCAATGCAGAGAGCCATTCTCAGTAGCTGCTTTCCAGCTCACAAACCTTTGGAAGTCCATCAATGTAGGAATCATTTGCTGGGAGGCTTTTGGTGGTGGCAGGCAGATATATTTGATGCCCTGACCTGGATAGCCCAGGCTACCCTGATCTTATCAGATTTCAGAAGCTAAGCAGTGTTGGCCCTGGATGAGAGACCATTAAGGAAGTCCAAGGCTGCTACACAGAGGCAGGAGATGGCAAACTACCACTGTTCATCTCTGGACTTAAAAACCCTGCAGGGTCAACATCAGTGGTCCACGACTTGATGGCCCTTTACACACACAAAGACAGATATGGTGAGGAGAAGAAGAAGAAGAAGAGGTTGGATTTATACCCCACCATTAGCTACCTGAAGGAGTCTCAGTTTACAATCTCCTTTCCCTTCCCCTCCGCACAACAGACACCCTGTGAGGTAGGTGGGGCCGAGAGAGCTCTCCCAAGAACTGCCCTTGAGAGAACAGCTCTGAAAGAACTTGTGACTGACCCAAGGTCACACCAGCAGCTGCATGTGGAGGAGTGGGGAATCAAACCCAGTTCTCCCAGATTAGAGTCCATGCTCCTAACCACTATACCAAACTGGCTCTACCCTGAATCCTTCAGTATATTTCTGCGAATGGAAGGATGGGGTAATTTTGGCTGACTCCACCCCTCCCACTTTGGCCCCCAAACTCTCCCCTCATACCGTTCTTGGGGGTCCCCAGTGCTTGAGGAGCAGAATTTCAGGGATCAGTTCAGGCTGCGTTGAGAGGGGGAGGCGAGAAAGTCCCAGTCCACTGATGGAAATTCCTTCTGTCTGTAGAAATATACCGTAGGATTCAACCCTCCATTGATCTTTACTTTTAATACCGTGCCGGTGGATTGTAGAAGATAGATTGGAAGTTGGCCTGGAGAGACTAGGGATCAAATTCCCAATCAATTATGAAACTTGCTGGATATTCTTGGTTTTTTCCCAGCTTAACCTCCCACACACAGTGATTGTATGGATTAAAAAGGAGAGTGTATTCTGTCCAGAGTTCAGTGTCCCGTGTTCCTTGGACATTGCAGAAGAGCCTGGGACTTTTCAGTTTAGAAAAGACAATTAAGGGGGGGGGGGATGATGACAGAGGTTTATAAAATTATGCATTGGGTGGAAAGAGAACTTTTTCTCCCTCTACCAGCATACCTGAACTTGAGGGCATCCAATGAAGCCGATGGGCTGTAGGTTCAGGAAGGACCAAAGGAAATACTACTTTACACAGAGAGTGATTCAAATGTGGGATTCGCTGCAGAGGACGTAGTGATGGCCACAGGAATAAACAGCTTTAAAAGGGGATGAGACGGATTCATGGAGGATAAGTCTGTTAATGGCTACTAACCATGGTGACTGAGGGGGACCTCCACATTCAGAGGCACGATTCCTCTGAATCCCAGAGCCAGGAGGCAACATCAGGGGAAGGTCTCAGCTTGTAAGCCCTGCTGTTGGCCCTCCAGAGGAACTGGCTGGCTCCTGTGTGAGACAGGATGCTGGACTAGATGAACCACTGGTCTCATCCAGCAGGGCTCTTATGTTCTTATCATCATAGTAACATGCAATGTATTTTCTCACCCATTTTGCCACTAATGGATAGCCTGGGTTGGGAGTTAAAGAAGAAAGTAAACAATTGTGGAGAGGATTGGTGAAGATGTCAGTGGTCAATCTCTTAACTGCTATTTAAAAGATCGGGGGTTACTGGATCAATCCCTCCCTCCCTGAAGTTCCTCCCCAGCATTCTGTGGAATCAAGGGCTTGGATATTGGTATTAGATTTGAAACTTAAAACAATGTTCTCTCAGTCTCCGGTTCAATCCCTGACATTTCCAGAAAGGATCTCAGATGTTGGGAAATACCTCTCTGAAACTCTGGAGATCTGCTGTCAGTGTAGTCAACAATGGACTAGATGGACAAATGGTTTGACTCTGGATAAGAAGAGAGAGAGAAAGAAGAGATTGGATTTATACCCCGCCCTTCCCTATCTGAAGGAGAGTCAGAGCAGCTTGCAATCTCCTTTCCCTTCCCCTCCCCTCCCCACAACAAACACCCTGTGAGGTAGGTGGGGCTGAGAGAGCTCTGAGAGAACTGCTCTTGAGAGAACAATTCCTGGTGGCACCTGGTATTTTTGGCCACTGTGTGACAGAGTGTTGGACTAGATGGGCCATTGGCCTGATCCAACATTGGCTTCTTTTATGTTCTTATGGAATAACTTGTGACTGACCCAAGGTCACCCCAGCAGCTGCATGTGGAGGAGTGGGGAATCAAACCCGGTTCTCTCAGATTAGAGTCCGCACTCCTAACCACTACACCAAACTGGCAGCTTTGTAGATGCAGATAGACAGAGGATGGGCAGGGTAGAAGTGTGATAAAGAAAGAAAGAACTTCTAGCTGAGCTAATAGCCAGACATTAAGAGTATATCCTGAGACTTTTAATAAGAGTCTAGGGCAGACGTAATCATTTTGTAGCTAGCGGTGAGTCCAACGACATGGGGGTGAGGCTTACTGATCATGTCCACCCCGAGCAGCTCATTATTTCATGTACAGTGGCCAGGAAATAAAAAGGAATCTGCAGGCGATGGGCAGTCCCATTTTAGGATCTTTGTTATGAGGTTCCATTCCTAACAGTACAGGAAATCAGAGAGACTATCGTCCTCCCCAGCAGCAGTTAAGGCTGCAGCCCTCTCTGAGAGAAGAACTTGAGTGTCCTTTCTTGGTCTCATCCACCCCAACAACAGCCAAGGCTCTTGACGTCTCCAGCAGAAGGAACTGGATTGGCTTCTTGGGCATCTTCAAGATGGCGCAGCTGAATACTCTCCCCTCGTCGGTAGTGGGGATTTCCTTCGGGCACTGAATCCAGCTTGCGTCCCGTGGAACCCAGCTGTAACAGGTGTTGTATGAACGGTTATCGTCTTTGCCAGCTAACAGGTAAATCTTCCCCTCCTGCTCCACCGCACAAGCAAAAGTCAAGGCCACCGGCAGCTCTGGGATGGCAACTTCCCAGTTAACTCTGCCATCTTCATGGAGAAAAAAGCTCCCTTTGGTGCTGAAAGGGATCTCCTCCGTGGGTACCGCACTGTGGGCCAGAAAACTGCCCCTTTCCTCTGTGAACCCACCGATGACGTACATCCCGGTACCGACGGGGACGGCGGCTGCTCCGTAGCAGGCAAACTCCATGAGCACCTCATTCCACCAATCGGTCTTTGTGTTGTAGATAAGGAGGCCCCTGTAGCTCCTGGACGCTTTCCCTCCGATGAGGTAAAGCTTATTATTGAGAACGGCAGAAGCCGGGTACGTCAAAGCGAGGGGCAGGTTCGAGATGGGAGCCCACGTGCTCTGGTTCACGCTGTAGGCCTCGGCAGAAGTCAGCGGACCGGCATCACTGCAGCCTCCCAGAGCGTAGAGCTCTTTGTTACAAGCTAGAAATGGGTGCACTGCCCGGGGTATGGACATCGATGGAAGCTGAGTCCACTGGCCAGTCAAAGAATTATACTCATACAGGCTGTCAACAAAAGTGCAGTCCCCTGTCTGGCCTCCGGACAGGTAAAGCTTGAAATCCAAGGATGCACATCCAGAATAACTCAGATACCTCAGCGGCGGAAGGTTCTCCCACTTCTCTGTGTGAGGGTCAAAACAGTGAAGGTAAGAGTGCGGGCTATCTCCATTCTGGGTCCAGTTTTCATGGAGTTCCACGCAGACAAAACAGTCATCGTACATGCCCTTCCGGAGTCCCCCGCTCTCTAGCAGTCTTCCTGCCCCATCCAGCTCCTTCCACCTCAGACGCACATGCCGGTAATACTCAGAGACATCTGCTTGGACTTCCATGACCTCCCCGGCAGTCAGCAGGGGGAAACGGACATGGCCCAGCAGCTCCTTAAACAGAACGAGGCGTGTAGACGGCGGGTGTTCTGCCCAGCTGCGGACGGCTTGGTAGACGGTCAACTCAGAGGCTACCTCCAGCCCATTGGAGCAGATAAGGCAAATCAGTGTGTGGTATTCCAAGCCCAGAAAGTCCTCTTTCTTACTGAGGGCCCCAAAGTATTGGCTGATGTAGGCCCAGGCCGCTTGCAGCAGAGCTTGGTGACTGTGTTCGTGAGCCAGGCGATAAAGACTGAGGCAGTTTTTCATGGTGACATTCTTCTCCAGAAACCTGACAGGACAAGAGAGAACACATCAAGTGCTAGCCGTAGGTCAGTGGTTTCCCCCATTCAGATCCCCAGATGAAGATAGGGAGTTATTTCTACCTGAGATGTAAGATCACCTCAAGGGTAAGTCTTAGTAATTGTGGACGGCTGGGCGAAAGTCCATACGAGGCCCCAGAATCACTGTCACCCCCTGAATAGAGTCAAGCAAGGAGTGGCCCTCACCCCAGGCAAGGTGGGCAGGAGCAATCACTGTCCTCCTGAAGCCCCAGACGGGGCAGGTACAAGTGGCAGCAAGAGCTTGCTGCCCCCTCCTTTCAGGGGGTGGAGCTGTGGGCAGTCAGGGAAGCTGCCCCTGTTGCCCACTGAAGAAGAAGAAGGAGGAGGAGGAGAAGGAGAGGAGGAGGAGTTTGGATTTATACCCTACCCATCACTCGGAGCCTCAGAGTAGCTTACAATGTCCTTTTCTTTCCCCTCCCCACAACAGACACCCTGTGAGGTAGGCGGGGCTGAGAGAGCTCTTCGAGAACTGCTCTTGAGAGAACAGCTCTGACAGAACTCCGGCTTGCCCAAGGTCATCCAGCAGCTACAGGTGGAGGAGTGAGGAATCAAACCCAGTTCTCCCAGCTTAGAGTCCATGCACTTAAGCACTACACCAAACTGGCTAAGACCGCCCCTGGATCATCTACTGTCCAGGGTGAGGCCTTTTCAATGGTGGTTCCAAAAATATGAAACACCCCTGTAGGTCACTTGAGATAGCAGCTAAGTCCTTTTCTACTTGCTTGAAAAAGGAATGGAATTTGTTTAGCCATTAGGTTTCTGATTTTATCACCCCCCCTTGTTGTTAATATTCTTTCACTTTTTTTTTTTTAAACATTCTTACAATTTTATGGTGCTGACATTATGAATGTTTTATTGTGCCATGTTAATGAGCCCACCAAGAGAAACTGTTAGTATTAATGAGCCAGTCTTGAAAGTATATTATGTATGTGAGCAGAGGATCAAAGATTACTTCATGACAGTGTTTCCAGGGGTCCCTACCCTTTCTGAGCCTGTGGGTACCTTTAGAAACCTGACACAGGGTGGTGGGTCCAATCATAAAAGAGCAGGAGCCCAAGTGCGGGGGCAAAGAGGGGTAATTCCAGAGGTCATTTCGGGGGGAATCGCGGGGGATCACAGTTCCCCTGAGTGAGGTGCGGGGGGGCGGGGCACATGACGAAGCCCCACCCCCCGCTTCCGGCCGCCCCGCTTCCGGCCCCCATTCAGCCAGGAGGTGGCAGGAGGTCCACCGCCGGGCCCCACATGGGGTTCGGCGGTGGACCTGCAAGGCCGGCGGCGGTGGCCGGGACTGTTGGGGGCAGGGTGTGTGGCCTTATGACACACTTCCGGTGATGTCAGGGGGTGTGGCATATGCTAATGAGTTATGCTAATTAGTTCCCCTAGCTCTTTTTCTACGAAACGACCCCTGGGTAATTCAATAATATACACTGGGAAAGAGGAATGAGAGAGAATAAAACCTGCACTGTGGTGAGAGATGCCACTGAAACAACATTATTTTAATCAGTACAGTCCATCAGGTCTCCAGTGGCCAATCAGAAATTCTGAGGGACCAATGCGCCAACCTGTCCCACCCACTTACTAAAATCACTTAGTGGGCACCAAGAAAGGTGTCAGTGGATGTGGCCTTGGGACAAGTCACAAATTCTCTCGGAGCTGTTCTCTCAGGAGCAGTTCTTGAAAGAGCTCTCTCAGCCCCACCTACCTCACAGGGTGTCTGTTGTGGGGAGGGGAGGGGAGGGGAAAGGAGATTGTAAGCCGCTCTGAGACTCCCTCAGGTAGTGAAAGACAGGGTATAAATCCAAACTCTTCTCTTCTTCTATGGTGCCCACGGGGACCATGTTGGGAACCCCTGCTTTAGATGGAAACCTATGCAATATTCTTGTAGGAAAACCTCTGGGGTGGGGGGGAGGCTAGCAAGGGAAACAAGAGGTTCCCAACACCTCATACCAAGATGACTGGGAGCTCTTCTGATGGTCCAGTGCTTAACTATTCCCCACCCACCTTTTGTCTCCCTCAATTGTTCCCTCCGACTTGTGCCATTTCAAAATAAGATTCATTGATCCAAGGCTGGAAGTGTCAGGCAGGGTAAATAGGCTTATTGGGGGAAATTCCAAGGGCAGAATCTGTGACACCCCCCCCCCCCGATTCCATCATTCTCTGTAAACACATGATTAGGACCATGGATTTGGAAGTATTGGAATGTTCCAAAACATTCCAGTTCGTATGTTCGGGAAGCCGAGAGCAGAATTGCCACTTATGAGAAACTTGTTGCAGACTTAAGGAGGGCCACCAGCATTACCTTCCAGCTATTTCTTTCAGCGGAAGGATCTGGAGTTTGCCAGCTGCAGTGAACAGATCCTGGGCTGTGTCTAGCGTGAGGGAGAGCTCTTCTGTGTAAAGGTAATTCAGGAGGCTGTGGAGAGTGGAGGAGGCCATGTCCTTGAGCTGAAACGCCTTGTTTTGCAAGCCACTGGAGTTTTTGAAGATATCTCTGAAATAAGGGCTGATCGAAGCTAACAGCATCCTGTATTTAGCAAAAAGGAATCCTCAAATCAAAGGTCTGAGAGAGACAAGAATAATATTATCGATTGCAGTTGTATTCCCATCCTCCCTCCAAGGTGATTTGGTTGGCTTACAGGTCCCCTCACTTTGCTGTTATAAGGTTGCCGTGGTGATGGCCACAGGCACAGACAGCTTTAAAAGGGGATGAGATAGATTCACGGAGGATAGACCCATCCGTGCCTATAAGCCACGGTGACTCAAGGGAACCTCCGCCTTCAGAGGCAGTCCACCTCTCAATCCCAGTCCCAGGAGGTAACACCAGGGTCGGCTACTGCCTCTATGCCTTATTTGTTGGTACACCATGGTAACTGGTTGGCCACTGTGTGAGACAGGATGCTGGACTAGATGGACCACTGGTATGACCCAGCAGTAGGGTTTCTAAGTTGCGGCGGGGGATCGTGTGTCTTTGCAGAATTCATGCCGCGGGGACGGCGAGACGTGTTGCACCCACCGTCGCCAGGAAATGACACTACACGTTGCTCTGGCAACGGGGCTTCAAACAGCCCCGTTGCCAGAGCGACACGTAGCGTCATGTCCTGGCGATGGTGGTGCAATGTGTCTCGCCGTCCCCGCGGCACGAATTCTGCAAAGATATGCAGATTTGGCGAGATTTGGGAGCCCTATCCAGCAGGGATCTTCTTATGTTCTTACGTAATAAGGGCTCTTTTTGTAGGAGGAACTCCTTTGCATATTAGGCGACACACTAGCCAATCCTCCAAGAGCTTACAGTAGCCCCTGTAAGAAGAGCTCTGTAAGCTCTTGGAGGATTGGCTACATTAGGGGTGCATCGCCTAATATCCAAAGGAGTTCCTGCTACAAAAAGAGCCCTGCTTAATCTTATAGGGTTGCCAGGTTCCCCCTGGCCATTGGCAGGGGATGGGGGAGTAGGGTTGCCAGATCCAGGTTGGGAAACCCTTGGACATCTGGGGGTGGAGCCTGGGGAGGACAGGGAGCTCAGCGGGGTACAATGCCACAGAGCCCACCTTCCAAAGTGTTGCTAATTCTGGGCTGGGAAATTCCAGGAGATTTGGGGTGGAGCCTGGGGAGGGGAGGGACTTCAGCAGGCATGATGCCACAGTCTCCACCCTCCGAAGCAGCCATTGCCTCCCTCTGGGATGTCACCTGCAGATATTTGTAGCCGGGAGAGAAACTGTAATTCCAGGAGATCTCCAGGCCCCACCTGGAGGATGGCAGCCCTGAAAAGCAGGGTTCCCACTCATGTGGAGAGAGTTGTACACATAACGGGACTTGCATGCAGCCACACCAACATGCACAGGCTGGGGTGTGGGACTTAATGCCGTGATCCGGCTCCTCTCCCCACGTGTTTATAGAGCACATTTGGGGGATCAATTTGTGCAAGTTCTTCTACCGGTATACAGGATCCATATGAACTCACTGATGACAAGGAAAGCTCTTCCCTTCAGCCTCCAAGGTGACATCACAGAGCTGCTGAGCCTGGTAGAGCTGTCTCAAGCCTGCAAGAAAGCACACAGTCCAGTGAGGTTGGATCTAAGGTTGACAACTATGCGCTGAGAAATTCCTGGAGATTTGGGGGTGGAGCCCGGGGAGGGACCTCTGTGGGGTATAATGACACACTGCACCACCTCTGAAGCAGTCCTTTAGAAGAGAAGAGAATCACAGAGTTGGAAGGGGCCCTACGGGCCACCTAGTCCAACCCCCTGCTCAATGCAGGATCAGCCTAGAGCAGTGGTGGCGAACCTATGGCGCGGGGGCCAGAGGTGGCACTCAGAGCCCTCTCTGTGGGCACGCGTGCCATCGCCCCAGCCAGGCCCAGACCATCATTAAAGTGTCGAATTCTCTGCCAAATAATTCTAAGTAAACGAAAGCATTTGGGATTGCTTTCCTTACTTTGTTTGGGTCATCTTAAGTTAATGTATGAGTTGTTTTTTTGTAAAGTAAAACCGCAGTATTCAGGTTAAATTGCCGTGTTGGCACTTTGCGATAAATAAGTGGGTTTTGGGTCACAGTTTGGACACTCGGTCTCTAAAAGGTTCGCCATCACTGGCCAAGAGCATCCCTGACAAGGGTTTGTCCAGCCACTGCTTGAAGACTGCCAGTGAGGGGGAGGCTCACCACCTCCCTAGGCAGCCGGTTCCACTGCTGGATTTCCTTCAGGGGAACTGTAGTCTGGAGATCGGCTAGAATTCCAGGAGATCTCCAGGCTCTACCTGGAGGCTGGTGACCCTAGTGGATCCTGTGGGTCCACTCTACTAGCAGAGGTGCCTTCCTGTGGTAGAGGAGCCTTTTCTGTCGCAAGGTGTCTGAGAAAATCTCCCTCTGGAGGAAGGCATCACCGCTAGCAAGAACAGAACTGGACGATCGGGGCCAGTGAAATAGAAAGCAGCTGTTAGCTCTTCCTTCTGTGACAGAGAGGCTTCTGGGATGCCACTAACAAGAGACACCTGGCAGGGTCTCGGTTAATTCATCTCAGCATTTCACAATCAAGAGAGGTACATCTGCCCATCAATCTCCAAGTCTGATATATTTGTTTCCTTCACTACGTTCCCTGCTGGAATTAAAGCCAAACAAATGGTAACCGTATAAATTAAGCTTGCAATTACTGTTTGGTCCTTGAATCTGTTAAACATCTTCATTATGTTATATGCTAATCTGCTGCTTGCCCTCTACCAGTAGGTTTTGTTGTTCCGTCGCACAGTCGAGTCCGACTCTTTGCGACCCCATGGACCAGATCACGCCAGGCCTTCCTGTCTTCCGCCGTCCTCTGAAGTTGGCTCAATTTCATGTTCGTTGCATCTATGACACTGGCTAACCATCTCATCCTTTGCCGTCCCCGTCTTCTTTGACCTTCAATCTTTCCCAGCCTCAGGGTCTTCTCCAGGGAGTGCTCCCTTCTCATTGGGTGGCCAAAGTATTTGAGCTTCAGTTTCATTATCTGGCCTTCCAGGGAACAGTCAGGGTTGATTTCTTTTAGGATTGACTGATTTGATCTTCTTGCAGTCCAAGGGACTCTCAAGAGTCTTCTCCAGCACCATAGTTCAAAAGAATCTATAGTCCAACTCTCGCAGCCATACATGACTACTGGGAATACCATTGCTTTGACCAGGCGGACTTTTGTTGGCAGGGTGATGTCTCTACTTTTATCATGCTGTTTAGGTTCGCCAGTAGGTATGGACTGGTAACTTCCATTTCAATGTATCTAAAGAAGTGTGCACGCATGTGAAGGCTCACACCCTGAATAAAACTTGGTTGGGCTTAAAGGTGCCACTGGACTCAAACTTTGTTCTGCTGCTTCAGCCCAACAGTTACCCACCTGAATCTACCCCCCAAGTTCATTAGTTTGGTTACCTTGAGACTCACCCTGACATAAATAGGTTTCGTGAGACTGAATTGATTTTTCAGTGCCATCTTCTTCATCGCTGTCTCTCTGGGAATCCATGCTCTTTGGTACCAGAACTGGCTCAGGTTCATCATGTTCACCTACACGGGAACAGAATAGGGGTCTAGGGCTCGAAAACCATTCATGCTAGTGCAATATAGGTATATTGAAATTACTGAAAAATCCAGGTCATAGATTCATTCAAAGGTGGCATTCTGGATCTTGATTTCTGAAATCTGCATTTCTTCATCAGCCAGAGCGATGGTTCAGAAACCCCAGCATATTTCTGAATACCAGTTATTGGGGATCAACAACAGTTATTGGACCTCCGTGTCCCTGCATTCGGGTTCTGTCAGGGCACTGATTGGCCCATTGTGGGAAACAGAAGAAGAAGAAGAAGAGATGAGATTGGATTTATACCCCGCCCTTCACTTGGAGTCTCAGAGCGGCTTACAAACTCCTTTCCCTTTCCCTCCCCACAACAGACACCCTGTGAGGTAGGTGGGGCTGAGAGAGCTCTTGACAGAAACTGCTCTTTTTCAAGGACAGCTGTGCCAGAGCTTGTGACTGACCCAAGGTCACATCAGCAGGTGCAAGTGGAGGAGTGGGGAATCAAACCCGGTTCTCCCAGATTAGAGTCCGCACACTTAACCACTACACCAAACCAGTGGTCTTATCCAGAAGGACTTTTCTTATACCCCTGTAAATTTGTGTGCCCTGTCCTGGATGGCTAGCCTGATTTCTTGAGATCTTAGAAGCAAAGTAGGGTTGACACTGGGCCGGAGGTATGCTTTCTAGTTCCACCATTTCTTCAGATATGAAAGTGTTCAGGTCAAATGTCATGGGGTCTGTTTCTCCTCCAGCTACCATTGGAGCCTCTGCTCACGTAGTTGTGTGAGCCTGGGTTGCTTGAATGGATGCTTATGTTAGCCATTGCCCTGCTCAGATCACGTGATGGGGATGGCTTCTGGGATGTCTAAGTAGCATTGGCCCTAGTTAGTTACTTAGATGGGAGCCCATCCAGGAAGTCTAGGGTAGCTATGCAGAGACTGGCAAACTGTTTGTCTCTCGTCTTGAAACACCTCCAGGGTCGCCATAAGTCACCTGCGATTAAACGGCAGTTTCCATCACCGCTGTGAATTAGGGTACTAAAATGTGTAAATATTGTCCTTGCGATCAAATTCACTGCTGAGTTTGAGACTATTTTTTTAATTAACTTCCAGTCTTTACATTTTAACCTTGGCCCTTCAGAGTGAAAAATGAGAGTCCTTTTGTTATTTAAAACACAAATATTTGTCGGGCTAAATATACATGTTTTCAGGCTTGTTTCAGTTCTACAAAACACTTCGGTAAATAGGGAAAGGATGATGGCACCGTTCCCACCAAAATATAGCCCCATCTCGTCCCTACAAACTGCGGAAAAGAGAGAAGAAGTAAAGGCTGAAGGACTCTAAATTGTGCCTTTGAGAACTTTGGTTCCAGGGGATGATGGGGGGCACTGTTATTGGGCAATTAAATGTAAATGGGGAGGGTTAAAAGTTCTAAAAGATTGACACAGTTCATAAGAAGTACAAAGGTCCCGTTCACACTAGGGGAATTTGGGCCGGGAGCGGGACAGATCGGGGGCGGAGCAAACGGCCGCGATCACACCACAACATCTGGGAAGTGTAGTGCTTCTGCCCCCGATCCGGCCCTTCCCCTCGAAACTCCGCATCAACTGGGAACCACCTACCGAGGTGTTTCATCTGGATGAGGCGCCTCAACCGGGCCGTCGGATCGCCGGCGCATCTTTGCGCCGGCGCATCCCCGGCCCCCACCCGAACTGCGCATGCTCCGACATGCGCAGTTCAGCAGCCTCTCCCAGTTTTCCCCTCTCATCTCTTCAGTTTCTCCCCATATTTCCCTCTCCTCAAATGCAAGGCCCCCAAAGCTTTGCTCCCCCATCTTTCTCGAACTCCCCACCTCTGTCTTATGTGCATGTGTGTGGTCCTCAGGCTTTTCTGGTCTTGCGTAACAGGGAGCTCACAGGGGCATAACAACAGGATGTCTTCTGGCTTAGTTCTAACTGCTCCAACTGCCAATGGATGGCTCTTAAGGGGCCGGGCACCTTATATAAGTAGCGGGTGAGCAGCCGCACAAAAGCTTTGTTTTTTTCCGATTGGACTAATGTTCCAACATTTATCGTCTATATTTCTCAAGGAGGGCCAAGATACAGAGGCTTGTGTCAGACCTCGGGTCAAGTTACTCTCAACCAGGGGTCATTTCGTAGAAAAAGAGGTGCAGGAGCTCATTAGTATAACTCATTAGCATAACTCATTTGCATATGCCGCACCCCCTGACATCACCGGACGTGTGTCAGAAGGCAACACCCACCTCTCAGG